GGGACGGGAGGGGGATCAAAATACTATCCACCTAGCTGAGAAAAGGAGAAGGAAAAGGAAAGCGTGGGACATGCCTTGGTTTACGATATCGAAAGCTGGGAAAATGGTGCTATTAAAGAAAATCTCCCCACTTTAAGAGATTCTCTGAGTACGGTGAATTTCACCTTGAAGCTCTTCTTAGTAACCCCAATTACCGGCGATTTCTCCCATTCCCGTTCTATTACCATAACTCGATAAGTAATTTTTCTGCAGTTCGTCAACTGTAGAAGACGTTGTCCCAACTCGCCCACACAATTAAAAAGTGGAATGTAAAAAACAGCTGACATGATGTTTTTAATCAATTGTGGTTGTGATATGTCTCCGCCCCAATCAGGATATGATTGAACGTGGAGTGGAGAGAATCGGGACGTTAGACGTGTGATGGGATAGGACAGTCTTATGATGTCTTTGGGTGGTGAGTGCATGTTTTGCTGTTGATTGGTTGAAAACTGGTCATTTATCTCGTCATTACCATCTCATTTTAAAGTAAGTTGAAGTTAGTCACATATTCATTGCACTCTTCGTTTTTCGTTCCGCTCAGTTCGTCAAACTTTGTAAAGCCCTTGATACTTTTCATCATACTTTAGAGTTGTACTTGTGGCAGGGCTGAATCGAGCGCAGTCGCGATTCGCTACTATTTTTGTCGCTGAAAATTTCTTGGGTGATTTCTAGGTCCAGACCTAACTCTACATAGATTGAGTCCGTGAGCCCAAAGTGATAAAGTTCTTGGCTTTTTTTATCTTCAGTGCCTGAGGGGGGGGGAGCATTTCGCGCTCTCGCCACTTCTCATCAATGAGTCATGCCATCACATAGATATCTGTGAAAATCTTGTGACCTGCCTGTACCTGCACTTCTCCAACATCTTGAATAAATGATGACTAGACGCATGGGAGGTAGCGGAGGGGCAGAATGCTCCGCCCCCCCCGGGGCGACTGCGCCAAGTTTTTATTTGAAGAAGGGCTCCACCACTCGGCTGGAAAGCAAGAAAAGGTCGCCTTACTATGGTACACAACTGGAATAGGTGAAACGGTGTTCAGTAAATGACCGCCCACGGTCCCCCCTATTTCTCTCAAGCCAGATATGATCCCTTGCCCTAGCGACCAAGTGCGATGAAGTTCTCCCAATGAGCGATACGTAATCCCAGTGGGCGAAACGTTTTCGAGCAGGACTTCTACTCCCACACCCCCCAACCGCAGACAGTTGCAAGGAGAAGGAAAACCAAACATTCATCAGATATAAATAAAAGTTGCGAGGTTCATCACTCTCCCGCACCTCTCGAAAATGGACCTTCCACCTTGGGACATTTCCGTAACCGGAGATAGTCTCAGGATGTCTGTCAACCCTGAGAGCTTCCTCCTTCCCTCTTAAACCTTCCTTCTCCCCTTATTTTCCTCCCTTCGATTACACGGCCTAAAAAATGCGTTGACAAAATAGCTCTAGACCCTCACAGCGAGAGAACACCCGGTTGACAAGCCTTCCAACCCAGAAGATGGCTTCCGTGGTTGGGACCCATAGCGTTCTGTTCTGTTTTGTGCCTCTTTGTCGCTTTTTCTCATTATTCATTCAATTTTGACTGACTCGTAGATTCTTTTCTCATTTCCACTGGCATTGTAAATCATAGACCAGTTTGTTTGTTTGTTGTTTGTTTATCATTGTGAGCCCTCAAATTAGACCGCACTCTGCTCTTAATTCTTCGTTAGACCCGATTAACTCAATTTCGTCAAAATCGGCCCATTTTCGCTGTTGATTCCCACCCATTACCGAACTTCTGTTCCAGGTATTGCGTCGGTGATGAATAGGGAAGAAGCTGAAGCAGTTAAACGTTTACGGAGTGAGGTAAGTATTCAATATTAATGTTTTCCAGTAGTGGCGTCTCAGTTTTCTACCGTACTCCACTTGTTGTTCTTGAAAAATGCCAGAAATGGGATTTCATCTTACACTGAATCACATGTGTGCTCAGAGGTGAAAGTGACCATTCAACTGAAAATTAGCGGATGATTGATTCGAAAAAAAATTTTTTGTCAGGTTCGAAGCGCTGCTATTGACGTCTGTGGCAAGTTAATAAAAAAATCACTTTTGCTTCCAAAGTTCACACTCTTGTTTTTGTAAACAGCAGAAAAAGAATTTTGCTCTTCAAACAATATCTAGTTTTACCGAGCGA